GTATTGCACAACATCGTCCTTCCTGATTTCCTCTTGTCAGGTTTCTAATATCCTCCCAGCACCGCTGCAGTATCTGATGTCCCCTCTCCATTTGTGATGTGGTCATTTGTGCCTTTTCATTATTAATTTAGTCAGAGCTTTCTTTATTTTATCAGCTCTTTCAAGAAATAACCTTTGACTTTGCTATTATGTGTTTCTTTTCTATTTTATTAATTTATGATCTTATCTTTATTACATCCTTCTATTTTCTTTAATCTCTTCAACCTGCATTTTCAACTCCTGGGGAAGGTGCTCAGCTCATTAACCTTCACCCGTCCCTCTTGATTATAAGCATTGAAACTTTATGACCCTCCCACTAGATGCTGACCTATCTGCATCACACAAGTTTTGATGCATACCTTTATTGTTGTTTATTCTCTACACTTCCCATTTTCCCTGGTTACTATATCTTGCAAATGTGAGTTATCAAAAAGTGTTTTTTAATGCCCCAAAACATGAGGTTTATAATTATCTTCTTGTGATTGATTTCTTAAACATATTTGGTTCAGAAAAAGTGATCTGCATGATAACAGTCTTTCAACTGTACACTGGGCCATTAACCAAATCACAACATATGTCCTTGATAGAAATACCTATAGCTGTTAAGTAAAATAAGTCAAACTAAGTCAAACTCATTTACTAAAATTTCAAATCTTCTATGTCCTTCCTACATCCTTCAGATTTTTTCATACCTTTGTGGTCTTGGTTTTTCAATATAGGGGGTTAGTCTATGTCCACTTATAGTTCTGTCATGTTTTGCTTTATATATTTGAGACTATATTATTGGTTGCATATGTATTTAGAATTATTATAACTTCTTAGTGAGTTGTCAATAATCATCATGATGTTATTCTTTATTTCTAAATATTGCCTTAAATTTTTTTATTAGGATTTGCTGATACTTCTTACCATTTTATATCAACTTTCTGTATCCTTATGTTTCAATATTTATTTTTAAACATTATAACCCTGATTTTATCTAGTCTTTCACCTGGAATACTTAGCTGATTTTCATTTATTGGAAATAAGTGTATTTAATTTATTTTTACAACTTATTTTGTAATCTTTCTAGCTTTTATGAAATATTGGCACAATATCTCATTTTTTCCTAATCTGTAATATGGGAATAATAATATCATCTACTTCAAAGACTTAGTATGGATTCTTTTACAATTGAGAAAAATAGCTGATGCATGTATTTTTGGAGGGGGTTTCTTTTTTATTGGCAGTACTGGGGATTGAACCCAAGGCCCTGTGCATGATAGACAAATACTCTACAACTGAGCTGCATCTGTGTTCTCCTTTTTTGTTTTACATTTTGAGACAAGGTCTCGTTCACTTACCCAGGCTAACCTCAAACTTGTGATCCTCCTGTCTCAGCATCCTGTGTTGTTAGGATTACAGGTGTGCAATACCAGGTCCAGTTGCTAGATATATATCTGTAATCTATCTCTATATATCTATATCTATTTATCTATCATACAAGGAAGGAGTCCACACCTTTATTAAATGAAATATTAGGGGCTGGGGTTGTGGCTTGGTGGTAGAGTGCTCATCTAGCATATGTGAAGCACTGGGTTCAATCCTCAGTACCATATAAAAATAAGTAAATAAAATAAAGGTATTGTGTCCATCTACAACTAAAAATATATTAAAAAAGAGGACATATATGTGTGTGTATATACACATATACATAAATATATGTGTATACATATGTATATGCTTAGATATGGTATATACATACAAATATATATATATATAAAATCAGAATAACACCTAACACATAGAGCTATTTAACTGTAAGCATTACTATCAACATTATTAATATCATTATGTCATGGTTGTATTTTTTCTGTCATTTCTATTTCTTCAGTTAGTTTTCCTTCTTGTGCCTTCTTTTGGACTGATTGATTAGTTTGCCTTATTCCTGGTTTTGGGTGTGTTAATTTAGAAGCTATTATGTTTTTTTCATTTTCTTAATAGTTATTCTAGAAACGGTAACTTTCATAACTAAAGCACCAAGTCCCAAGTCTGTCAATCATTATCTTCGCCCTCTTCCAGAACCTTTGAGATTGAAATCAAAGCACCCTATACCTGGATTCCAACGATCCCTCACCAACTTCCATGTGATTTTGCTGTATTTGTTCTTTCTTTTTTGTGTCTCTGACATTCCATCTGGTGTGTGTGTGTGTGTGTGTGTGTGTGTGTTTAGTGCTGGGATTGAACCCAGGGCCTTGTGCATGTGAGGCAAGCACTCAACCAACTGAGCGACACCCCCAGCTCCTGTATCAATTTCTTTCTGCCTCTAAGTCCTGTTTGCATTCCCTTTAATGCAGCTTTTGTGCTGGAGGACGGTTTTGGGGACGTTTATTACACCTATTGAAAAGCATCATCATCACTCAGTGCACTCTCAGAAATCACCACTTCTTTGAAGGTCATTGTCTTTCTATCTCCCTTTAAGGTCGCTGCATTTCATCTGGTCTTCTCAAATTACACCATGATGTGTGAATCGTGTATTTTAATGTCACGCCCATCCCCTCTTCTTTTCCTCAGGAGTCCTGATCAGAGTCGGTGTGTGGCCCGTCTCGGGACCCGCTGCCTGGGCCGAGTGTCCTAGCTGTCTGCTCACTGACATGGGGCTCTTCATTGCTGTTGTCGCCTGTTTGTTGAGGTGACTCCTGTCTTTTTTAGTTGTGTTTAGCAGGAAGGCCACTGTACGTCCCTTATGTGGATAGCCTCTTTTGTTCTATATTTATTATTTGTCTTAATCCCTTAACGTATTTCAGTGGCCCTGGGAGCCAGGTGACCATGTGAGCCTCAACCTTCTGAAGCCCTGATTATTGGAACTGGGACTGGCTCTGAAGATGTCATAGTGACACAGGTTTTCTGAGCTGTCAGGCTGAGGGCCCCATGTGACGCCCGAATCTTTCAAAACTGGCCCGTGGCCAGGCCTCTAGGGACGTCTCCATTGAGGCGTCCCTCTTCTCTGTGCAGGCCCGCGCCATGTGAGCATGTGTTAGGAAGTTCTGCTCTGAAGTGCTTCATGTTGTGGATGAATTAACCCACACAGGAGCACAGAGCACAGCAGTGTCACACGTAAGGGTCCCGGGGGATGGCAGAATTTCAGGAATGGGGTTGAGGTCACCTGGGTGTTCTGTGTTTGGAAACAATCACCAACGTGCTTCCTGCTTGGAACCAAACTCCGCCGGGATCCCCCATCAGCTCTGCGAGGTTTCTACATGAGCCTGTGTCTCCACCCTCCCAACCGCACATGCTTCCTGTAGTCCCCATGACCTGTGTCCTCCTTCCGACACCAGGTGCGGTGTCGCTTGTAACCCCAGGAAGGTCATCGGTCACACGCTTCAACATGTTTTTATAGAAGTCTCTTGAAGCAGAGAGGGCGATGGGGCCGGTGCCTGCAGCAGGTGGGCCTGTGGCCACCCCACCCCCTGTCCTTCACTCAGCAGCGTGTCTGGGGATCTGTGCACACTGAGGCAGAGAGAGTGCTTGGGCCTGTTTAGGAGCATCCCGATAAGCCAGGTCACCCCTCTCGGAGGCCTCCCCTGGGTCCTGACACCTGGGCCAAGCAGGCCTTCTGGGCCGCGTCCCCCGTAGCGTCAAGCTGAGAGACCAACGGGCAGCTAGCGGGCACTGTGACCCACGTGCCACTGACCCACCACCTTGCAACACCCCTGGATGACATCAGAAGGCCACAGGCGGGCAGCCGAGAATCCCATCCTTCAGGTCTGGGGATCAGGAAGTCCAGGTACTTGGGAAGCGCCCCCAGCCCTCAGGCCTCCTGCGGCCACCCACTCCCTCTGCTCCACGGAGCCCTCCGCCCACTGTGCTCTGGGAGCTTCGGCATCCAGGACGCCTGAGGCCCGAATCCGGGACCCAGCTGCTCGCGCAGGTGGCAACCTGGCCAACTGGAGCAGCCTGGGCGGGAAGTGGCCTCAAGTGGCTCAGAGTCGGTGTGCGCGTAGTCAGCCATCCCCACCCCTGACGGTGCCCAGCAGCCGGGCTCCCCTCCCCAAGCCTCCTGAGGAAGTCGGTGCCAGCCGCCCGTCCTGGGAACTCAGGGCCACCCTCTATTGTTATCCCCCTCCCTGTGACTCGCACCCCCTGGGGATGTCCCTCAACCTGTCAGTGCCCAAGTCCCTGTCTTGGGGTTCGCTTGTGGGGGACTCAAGCTAAGAACCGCACCGCAGCTGAGCCTGGTCCTGCTGAGAAGCCAAGCACGGCCAGTGGCTCCAAGCTGGCTGCCTGCTCTGGGCTCCCTGGAGGCCAGTGGAGGGCGGCTCCGTGGGCAGCAGGGTCTGTGGGCAGCAGCGTCTGTGGGCAGCAGCGTCTGTGGGCAGCAGGGTCCGTGGGCAGCAGGGTCTGTGGGCAGGGCCAACGGGGTGGGCCGAGAGCAGGGCCCTCAGCTCCCCTGGCAGCTCCGTGTGACTGGAAAGCTGCCCCTGCCCGGCCAAGACCAGTGGGCAGGCAGGACTGGTGGGGCCTCTGGGTGGCAGCTGGCCTGCAAAGCTGCTTGCAGAGTGGACTGGCTCACGAGGCAGGTGCTGGGCAAGCTGGGTGGCAGCCCTGGGTGGACCTTGAGCTCCTGGGGCAGCGCCGTGCCTGGGCTGCAGGGGTGTTCCAGGAGCACTTGTGTGGATGGGCCGGGTCAAGTGGCCCTCAGCAGGGAAAGCAAGAGGCCGGGCCAGCCAGGGCCAGCCGGGAGCTCAGGGCGGAGGAGCCTGGTGTGGGGCTCTGGCCGGTTCTGCGAGGGCTCTGGGGCAGGCCCAGCGAGCACACGGGGGAAGTGACCTGGGAGCCCTACTGTAGGGACACAGCGACGCTGGGCGACCGACCACGTTGGCTCAAGGCGGCCCTGGCCCCCTCCTCACCTGAGGCGGGGCTGTGCTGGGTGGGTGGCCCTGCCCGCTGCCCGCCCGGCCCCAGCGAGCAGACCAGCGCTGTGCAGAGGCAGCAAGGGAGACTCTTTATTGGAGAACGCGTCACAGACAGGGACCCAGGGCGGGCTCCCAGACAGAACCCCGCCCAGGTGGGGAGCCCCAGGCCTAGCCTGGCACAGCCATGACGTGCTCGCCCTGCCTGGGCTGCCCTCAGAGCCTCCAAGGAGAGAGCTGGCCCTCAGGACATTCCTAGGGCCAAAGGTGGCTGGCAGGGAGGTGCCCAGGCCCTCTGGGGTGCCCACCCTCATGCTTGCCTTCCCATGGCCAGGGCGGGAGCAGGGACGGGCTCCAGCGGTGAGCGGTGTGGGGCTTGTCCGGAGCAGGTGCAGCGCTCCCCGCACTGGCCTGGGGCCTGGTCAGCTCCTGAGGGCCCCCGCACAGTGTGGGCAGAGGGCAAGGGCCCAGCGGGGCTCCTGGGAAGCCCAGCGGACTCCCCAGGAGAAGGGAGAGAGGACAGGGTGTGAGGGGGGAGGAGGAGAGGGCAGCTGCAGGAAGGCCTCAGGCCTGCGGTGGGGTGGGGTGGAGGCCGGCCTCCCCCTGTCCCAGGGACTGGGGCCAGCAGGGGACTCAGGCCTAGGCCTCCAGGGCGCGCACGTGCACACTGGGCAAGCAGAACCAGGACTGCGGCAGCTCCTTGCTCTTGCTGTCCTCGTGGAACCGGATGTGCAGGAAGAAGTCCCCGGTGTAGAGGAAGAGGAGGGCCCCGAGGCAGGACGCCTGGCCTGAGGGCTGCACCTGTGTGGGAGGAGGAAGGGACGTCAGCCCATATTACCAACACCAACCCCAAAGCCACCAGGAGTGCCCTGAGCCTGCCCAGGCAGCAGGACACGGGGAAGGGAGGGACAGCCCGGGTCAGCCCACCCAGGCCTGGCTCCCATGCCCTCTCCCAGACTTCTTTGCTGTGCTGCCTTGGGCAAGTTGCTATACCTCTCCGAGCCTGTTTTCATCTCTGAAAGAAGACGATTGCATTTCCCTCTCTGAGCTGTTTGGGGGTTCTGTGAGTCAGGAGCATGGGCTGCATCGTGGGGGTGGCTGGAGTTCAGCAGGTGGAGCAGGACGCTGTGCTCAGGCCTGACAAGGCGGGGGTGGGGGACGAGGGCTAGAATCTGAGCTGAGCCCTCAGTGCTCGGGGACCTGGTGTGCAGTGGCTGCTGGTCTGGGAGTGAGGGCACCCCGATGACAGGAGCACTGGGTCTAAGTGCACTCCAGTGCTCCCTGGCCCGGCCTTGAGGGAGGTGCGGCCATCATCCTGGCCTCCTAGACCCCGGTCAGGTGGCACAGGGTTACAACGTGTCGAGAGGAGCCCTGTCTGCTGATCTGGGCTGACCCTGCAGCCCGGCACCCGGGGCAGGGAGGTCAGCCATGGAGACCCGGGCTGCACGGCCAGGAGCCGGAGGCCCCGCTGAGCCGCCACGCACCGCATCGAGGTAGAAGGTGCCGGAGCCCACGAAGGACAGCGTGTGCTGCAGCTCGCGGTCGTGCACACCATTCTGGTGGTCCTGGAAGGGCAGCACCGTGAGCGCGAAGGGGCCCACGCTGTGCGGGCTCCGGTTGGTCAGCCGCACCTCCAGGCTCACAGGGTCGCCCACCCGGCAGGCCGCCGCCTTCTCGCAGTCACAGGGCTGTCCGTCCACCAGCACGTCTGCAAGGGACAGGAGGTTAGAGGCGGCGCTCACCCCTCCTCCCTGCTCCCCCAGCATGCGGCCGGCCCCTCCAGGCCAGGCTGGGTGCAGAGCCCGGGGCGGGATGCCCTCTGAAGCAGGGTCTGGCAGAGACACCGTGGGGCAGAGTACAGCGCTCCCCGTCCTCGGCCTGGGGCACCATGGGCGCTCCTAACCCTGCCACGTAGAAAGGCTGACCCTACCCACCGTTCCCGGGGCTCTCCAGGGTTCCCCTGGTCCAGGTGAGGGTCAGAAACCACGGGGTGGGAATGGGGAAGGGCCAGGCAGGGCAGCCGGCACCTGACTGGACCCTCAGTGACCACAGTGCCTGAAGTCAGGGCTGGGGAGGTAGGAGACCAGAGCAGGAATGATTGGCAGAGGCCCTGGAGGAGGCTGGGTTCAGGGAGATCCACCTGGCCCTTAGGAGGAGCAATGCCCTCACTCCCACCTGCTCACGGGACCTGGGGGCAGGTCCTGGGACCTGGCAGGATGGCCTGGGGGCAGGGCCTGGGACCTGGCAGGAGGCACAGGCCAAGTTCTGAGAGCGCTCCCCTCCTTACGGTGGCTTGGGCTCCTGCCCCTGTTCCCAAGCCAGCCGTTCAGGTCAAGTGCTCCCGTTGTGGGCTGGGCAGGTGTGGGGCCAGCCAGGGGCCGTGCCATGCCGGGGCTGGTGGGGAAATGGCAGCCGTCTCGGGTGAAAGCACCACCAAGGCAAGGAGTGAGTGGCTGGCAGAGGCCAGGCTCAGGGCTGGCAGGGCCCCGAGCTGGCCCAGCGTCGGCCCACAGCCACATCCTCGAACGTCCCCAGGGGGACGCCCTACACCTCCCCCTCAGTGGCTGCACTTGTGTCCCTCCCCATCTACAAGGCAAGGCCTCCATGGCACCAGCTACGCAGGAGTAGGAGGAGCTGCAGAAATGACTCGGGAGCTCCGTCACGCCAACGCTGACTGTCCCTCGCACCCTGCCAGCACCTGTAGCCAGTGTGATAAGGACAGAGGTGAACAAGTCCCAGTGTTGAGAAAGTTCACAGTCAAAGAGAACAGGCCAGTCAGCCAAGACTTGGGCCAGAAGGAAGAGGACACCTTTCTCTTTTCCTTTATATATTTTTAAGGCTATGATTTGCCCTCAAAACTTTGCTTCTGCTGCACCTTACAGCCCTGACTGACAGGACCGCCTGAGCTGAATCTGGCCAGGCTGGCATCTGCTTGGGGCTGAGCCCTTGCCCACAGGTCTATCTGCAGCACACATAAGCACCTCCAGCAGTGTCTGGCACACATCGGGCAGCCAAGAGGACAGGCCGTTCTTTCCACTAGCTGCCGGGCTCTGCTGAGGCCAGAGCGAGTGTCAGAGGAACCCAACGCTCATGGCCTTTTCTGTCTGTGGGGCCTGAGACTCCTGTCAGGTGCAGCCAAGGCCAACACTGCCATCTATGAGGAGATAACCACATCCTGTTCTAGAAATGCCCCTCTGGAGAGGTCAGCCGCGACACCAGCAAAGCTCCATCTTGCCACATGGTAAGTGTCTGAGGGACTTGAGACTTGAGGACAGTGCTGCTATGTGACAGGTGGCCCAGCACAGGGAGGTACCCGTCGGTCCTCAGCACCCCTCACCTCTGCTCTATGAATGTCCCCTGAGTGGTGAACCCAACCCGGTGCGGTCTGACGCTCTCGAACAAGCTGGGACGTGGCTGGTGCTGCTGAGGGAGGGAGGGAGGGCGCGCGCGAGTCAGGGGAGCACGGCTGCTTCAGGGCGCCTCTGCTCTCTGTCCTTCCCGCAGACTCTGCCATGGCCCCCTGCCGTCCACCTGTCCTAGCCCAGCTCTGCACAGCCCCAGGGAAGACAGGATGACGAAGCTGGAGAGTCACTGTCCTGCAAGCAATCGTTCCCATGAACACAGCTCCTGGTGGACTCCTCCCCTGTCCTTTTCTAAGAGGAGGAGGGGCGTGGGCCTGATGGCTGGCCGGGAAGCAGGCATGTGCATGGGGCTGGACCCTGGGGGGTCTCAGCCTCACCTCTGACCTGCTGCTCCGCCAGCTGAAGCCTCCTCCACGTCACCTGCAGAGCTGGCACGGTGGGCCTGACCTCCCAGGTGGGACGGGGTGAGGGGCTAGGCTGAGAGAGGACCTGGCGGGCCCTGTGGGTGCCCCTACCAGAGCTGGGACATGTGGCTATAATGACTGGCCTCCCTGATGCCCCCTGCAGGGAGGGCAATGATGGAGCAGGGTCAGTGCGCAGGTCTAGCTGTCTGTCCCTAGTCTGCCAGTGTGCCTGTCCTGCAGTGCAGGCCTACTGGGACACTTGGTCACTCCACCCTTGTTCCTGACCCCTACACCAACCGGCTGCCAAGTGAGTGGGCTTCTGAGCTCCACAGTGGCCGCTTCCTTCCGGTCTCAGGGGGCAGCTCCTGCGGCACCAGCAGGTCAGATCCTGGCCCAGGCACACCACGCCTCCCCGTGACGCTGCCCGGAAGCCCGTCTCCCCAGTGGGCAGGGCAGGCTTGCTTTCTCCAGAGAGTGCCACAGTTCCCGAGTTCCAAAGAACACCCTGGTTGGCTCCCTGGGGACCCACAGGGTGCTGCTTAGGGAACACGGTGAAAATACATCTCATGATAACAGCCCAGTGGCAGCCAGTGACTGAGCTGTCCTGGAGAGGACACTGCTGCTGCATAGCTGTGCCCAGGCTGCACTCGCAGCCCCCAAAGCCACTGTCCTAACACCGGGGCTGAAGCTGGCTCACTTCTCGGACCTGGGACCAGAACCAGCTGCCTGCCAACCTTGGGGAAGGGGAGTGGCCTCCTCTCCGGAGCCCTGCTGAGCAAGGCTGCCGGGCAGGAACAGTGGAAGCCCCAGAGGAGCTGGCCCCAGAGGAGCTGGCCCCAGAGGAGCTGGCCCCGGGACCTGGGTCTGCGGGCACAGGAGGGCGCTGGAGCGTGGGAGGTGAGACTTCGCAGACGGCCGCCGAGGCAGGGCTGGAGGGCCACAGTGAAGTGTGGGCTCTGATGGCCCTTGCTCCCGCTGTGCTTGCTCCACCATGCTCTCAGAGAGGCCCCAGGGACACAGTGGGTGACCCAGGAGGGCACAGGGGTCTGGAGGAAGTGGGGTCTGGCGTGGGGCCCTCAGCTCAGTCATGGCAAGGTGAGCACCGGAGGGCAGGGGCCTCCGGAAGGAAGGGCCTGGTCTGCCTGCTCCTTCCCCACTCGCCCCCAGGACCACTAGGCAGCAATGCAGCCTCTTCAGAGCAACGAGAATCAGTTCAGGTGGGCCTGGGGACGAGCGGAGCCCTGGCAGCCCGGGAGCCCCTCCAGGCCCCTCGGTGGACAGCCAGCCTGGGCAGGCAGAGCCAGGCTCAGAGCCGACAGGCTGGTGTGGCCCTGTCTTGCTGTGAATGGACACAGCTGACACCCTGAGCCTTGGTCTCCTCACTAAGAAACCCCGATGTCTGTCTGGGCAGCTAGTGGGTGTCTCCCCCTTAACTTAGGCAGAATGGAGGCCTCCACTTCTCAGATGCCTGTTCCCTGGGGCCCCGTCCAGTGGCTCCCACTCATGAGGAGGGTCAGTCTGTCCTCTCCACCTGACACCCAGCCCCAGCCAGTGGGCATGTCCTGTGGTCAGTGGGGCTGTGCCTTCTCCTCGCCTCCCCAGGCCAGCACTCTCTCCTGCAGCTCCCGTCGGGCCCCTGTGTCCACACGCTCTCAGGCCAGGCTCAGACCCTGCTGTGACGAGGCTGCTGGGGGACATCTCCACTTGGTTTGCCCTTTGCTGGCCTGTGGCTTCTCTTTAGACTCAGGAGAAAAGGGGAATTTTGATCAGACGCTGAGCAGGAACAGGTCTCCGGGGCCCTGAGCTTGCCCCTCCTCCACCACTGTCCTGGATGTCCCTGCCCCCAGGTCCTTTGCACCGCGGCTCCCCACCTGCAGCTCCTTCCTGACGGTCTCTTGGCCTTCTCCCCAGAGAGGCTGCCCTGACCACCCAGCAAAGGGCCTCAACTGCCCGTCAGCATGCACTTTTCACAGGCCGCCTCCTCTGGTCTGAAGCTTTCTTGTTGACTTGTTTAGTCATTAACTGTCTCTGCCTC